GTTGTGCAGGTGTCCCTGATCTCATCCATGCAGTCATGTTATTAGTGAGTAGGGTTGAGCAAATCTCAGTTGCCTTTTTTGAAATAAAAACAACTTAAATATATTTAAGTTTCTAGTTTGTTTGCTTGAACCTTATCTCACAAGGCCACCTCTTCTCTTGTAAACCTACCAACATTCCAGCCTTTCCTGCAACAAAACCTATGAGCTTATATCTGGCAAGTTTCTTTGAGTAGATGTGATATCTTTTATTAGACCAACTGAGTAGTTGGAAAAAAGTTCTTAGCAAGCTTCCAGGCGCAGTCACCCTTCTCCAGGCATTGGGAATTTCTCCTGGTCTGAGACTCCAAAGAAAGAGAGAAGCTAAAAGTGTGGCAGGATCTCGGTAAACATGTAAATAGGTAGAAATTAGCAAGACAAAAGGTAAAGCAGGTAAGGGAGGGGGAAGAAACTCCCTATGCCTGAAGAAGGGTGACTGAGCCTGAAAGCTTCCTAAGAACTTTCTTCCAACTACTCAGTTGGTCTAATAAAAGATACCATAATAATAAAAGATATCATATGTACTCAAAGAACTAACCTGCCTATGTCCTTAGACCAACACGGCTACAACCAAAAACCCATGAACTTATATCTAGCAGCCTTCCCTCTTGCCAGCAGGCCCCAATTTCCTGTTTCCTCCCTGGCTTTTGGTTCCCCCTACCTCTGAAGATGTGCTGAATTTGTGAGTACTCTGAGACTGACATGTAGCAAGGTTCTGTGCCCTCCAAACTGCATTGTGAGCCAGAGTTGAAAGTCTGAAGAAGTTCCAGAGCTTAGCATCCTTGTATTTTCATGTATAATGAAGTATGATGATTAAGACAAAGGCCAGACCCAAACTGGAGAAATTAAATGGAAGAACAAAAGTGAAATGCAAGCACTTTAGTAACAGACAGACTTGGGGCAAGGGAGTACAATGGAAGATCAATCAATAAATAGGTTAGAAGTGGAAAAGGAGGGAAGTATGGATTACGTAGTCCTTCTTTTTTAAAGACAATGTCACATGAAGTTTCTGTAACAGGTGATTTTTATATAGAAGGAATCTACTTGTGTTTTCATCATGAGAGTCCTCAGAATAATTCTTTTTTATGCCGTAGCTTGATGTAGCCTGATTACATTGTATGGGTCACTGAGCATGATACAGCACTGTTGGTTATTTAAGCTTAGGTCAAATTAACCATCTAGATGATTCCTTTTGGACATGAAATCAGTTCAATTTTGCACTGATAATGCAACATTGGAGACAATTCTTTCTTCCTGAGCTGAATAGTTCAATAACATCTAGCTTGCAATGTTCATATAGTTTACAATTTTTTTTACTTAAATATGGAAAAATTTTTCACTTTTAAAGTTCTTAGCTTGAATTCAGCCCCTGTTGGATAATGTCTGAGAGTCACTGCTATCTCATAACTTTTTAATTACATGACCATGCTGTTCTCATTCCAATTTCAAATCCCTAGATCACAAATATTGCCACCACAAATGACCTTAAATTGTACTTTTGTTGCAAGTTACCAGCAAACAGGTTATGGCTACAAATTCATAGATTGTAAGGCTGGAAGGGACCTCAGATCATTGGGTCCAGCCCCCTGCACCAGGCAGGTAAGACAGGTGGGGTCAGGTGACCCCAGCAAGATGACTATCCAGTCTCCTCTTGAAGATCTCCAGGGTAGGTAATTGCACCACCTCTGGAAGGAACTTATTCCACAGTCTGGACACCCTAACTGTGAAGAAGGTTTTCCTAATGTTGAGCCTGAAATGGTGTTCCAGGAGTTTGTGGCCATGACTCCTGGCTTTCCCCAAGGGTGTCCTACTCCCCTGATATAGCGGTAAACTGCTATCAAGTCCTCTCTCAGCTTTCTCTTTTTTAAGCTGAAGAGTCCCAGGTCGCTCAGACTTTCCTCATATGGCTTATGGTGCAAGTCTCTGACCATACGGGTGGCCTTCTCTGGACTCTCTCAAGTTGTACCACGTCCTTGTTAAAGTGTGGTGCCCAGAACTGGATGCAGTACTTCAGTTGGGGGTCTCACCAGTGCCGAGTAGAGTGGATGAATCACCTCCTTGGTCTTGCTGGAGATGCATCAACTGATGCATGCCAGAGTATTATTTGCCCTGCTGGCAACAGTTGCGTTGCTGGCTCTTATTCATTTTGTCATTTATTATTACCCCCAGGTCTTTCTCATTCGTAGTGCTGGTGAGGTTGGCATTGACAAGCCTGTAGGTGTGCAGGGGATTGTTCGTTCCCAGGTGGAGCACTTTATATTTCTCATTGTTGAACTTCATCTGGTTTTGACTCACCCAACTTGCTAGCCTGTCTAGATCCCCCTGTATCTGTAGCCTATCTTCAAGCATGACCACGCTTTCCCATAGGTGTCATCTGCAAACTTGGCCAGTGAACTCTTCCCCCCCTCATCTAACTTATTGATGAAGATGTTAAAAAGTACAGGACCAAGCACCGACCCCTGTGGGACACCGCTGCGCACTTCTTGCTAAGATGACACAGATCCATTCATTAAGACTCTCTGGGGCCTACCCCACAGCCAGCTTCATACCCACCTAACTGTTTCACAGTTAAGCCCACTGTCTTCCAATTTTCTCATAAGAACATTGTGGGATACAAGATCAAAGGCTTTTTGCAAGTCAAGGTATACAACATCCACCACTTTCCTTTATCCAGGTGATGAGTCACCTGATCATAAAAGGAGATGAGGTTGGTTAGACAAGACCTTCCTGTGATGAAGCCATGCTGACTGTTGTTCAGAATCCTACCTTCTGCAAGCCTATTGCACATAGACTCTTTAATGAATTTTTGCAAGATTCTCTCTGGGAGAGAAGTTAGGCTAACTGACTTAAAGTTACCTGGATCCTCCCTCCTCCCCTTCTTGAAGATGTGCACAACATAGGCCCTGTTCCAGTCCTCAGGGACCTCTCTGGAGTGCCATGAGTTTTGGAAAAGTTTCACCAAGGGCTCTGTGATGACATCAGCCAGCTCCTTCAGCACCCTCAGATGGAGTTCATCTGGTCCTGCTGACTTATATATGTGTAATTTCTTTAACTGATCACACAGTGGTTCTATGGCAACAGTAGGGAGGCAGTTATTTCTGCCCTGCTCATTCTGTACCCTATCCAGCATGATTTTTCCCATGGCCTGGTGAAACACAGAAGCAAGGTAGTCATTCAGGAGTTCAGTTTTCTCCTGAATGTCAGTAACCAGCTGTCCTGAATTGCTGAGCAGTGGCCCCACACCCCCATTTGCTTTCCTCTTGTTCCCTATGTACCTACAGAAGGACTTTTTGTTGTCCTTGATTCCCATTGCTAATCTAAGTTCAGTCACTGCCTTAGCCTTTCTAATTTGTTCCCTACAAGTAAGGGCCATTGTTGGGGCCTGTCCTCCTTGGGGCCTGTCTTCAGCTTCCGTTGTTTATATCCCCTTTCTTCTTTCTAAGGAGGACCGTGATTTCCCTGTTTAGCCAGAAGGGCTTCCCAGCCCTTCTGCTGCCCTTTCTCCATGTGGGAATGGACTTCCTTTGTGCTTCAAGGATTGAATCCTTAAGGAGTGACCACTCCTCATGCACATCTTTTGCCTTTGGTCCCTGGTCCTGCAGCACTTGCTCTACTAGTGACATGAGCTTGTTCAAATTTGCATTTTTGAAGTCCAAGACTTCAGCCCTGCTATCAGATTTGTCTGCCTTGCAACAGACAGTGAATATGATGGTTTCATGGTCACTGTCACGCAGGCTACTCTCTACTTTTAAGTTGGTCACCAGGTCATCTCCTTTGGCCAGGACCAAGTCTAAGAGAGTGTTACCTCTGGTTGGTCCATGCACCTCCTGAGTCAGGAAGAGCTCTTCTATGCAGGTCAGGAAGGAGTACGACTGGTCCGAATTGGCCAAGCGTTCCTCCCAAGAGATGTCTGGATAATTGAAGTCACCCATTACGACCATGTTCTGTTCATGCATGGTCTCTGTCAGTTCTTGGGTGAACTCCAGACTGAGTTCTTCCCTCTGATTTGGTGGTGTGTAGTATACACCTATAGTTAGGTCTTTCTCTGCACCCCCCTCCCCACCCCTGCAGCTTGACCCAGAGGGTTTCAAGGCTCTTTTTTGGAGCTGATGTCAGCCTCCAAGGAGGTGTATTGCTCCTATAATTGTCTCTGAAAATGAACTCTGAATTCCTGAAGCAGACTCAGCCAGGTAAGGGCTAAGATTTACTGGTAGGGCTGAACAGCTGTGTTTGCTCTGCTGCTGCACCAAGTGGTTTGGTAGATAAGCAGAGTTCAATTTCAGCTCCAGAGCTGATGCTCCATCAATCCCTTAAAACCACTGTATTTCAACAATTAAATGGACTTAAAAATAAAAAGTAAAAAACAAGGAAAGAAATACTAAAAAGAAAGATAGTTCCCACCCAAAAGTTGTGATTTCCATGTTGTTGGTTTGTGACATGACATAGAACAGATATAAAAACAACTACTACCACCCAAAATGTTAAAAGTAATGGGCCTGAGCTATGGAAGAATGTTAATAGTAGTAACAGTTATGTTTCTTTCAAGCTTCCTTGTTTTACTTATTTTGTCGAACAGAAATGCTTGCCCAATGTTCCCATCTTTTTTCTGCATTTTATTTTGCAAAGAAGTGCCTTCTTGTAAACGAGATACAGAAATGTTATAGGCTACTAGAGAAAAGCTTGGAAGTTTAATGTAATGTTGAGGTGGTGTTCACAAGAATAAAATGGATCAGAGATCTTTTCTCAGGATGGTGCTAAATTACCAGAAACAAATTCAGCTTTTTCATCCGAGCAGTACTTCTACGTTTATTATCAACCTGTATTAACCCCTCTTCACTATTCTAGACTTTCAGAATTACTTTAAAAGACTACACTCTCTTCATAGGTAAAAGTGTCATTTACTTCAAGTCCTGGTATCCTTATAACTGTAATTAAAACAATAATATAGACAGGTTGTTACTCACTAGTATTTATCTTCTGAAGTGAGATGTGCTTTTCCAGCTGTCTACGGAGTTTCACTTCTGCTCCATATTTGCCTGTTGTCCCATTGTCAGCCAAAATAAAATGGGAGTGCATACTATTCAGTACTGTCAGCTTACTCATGGGATTGGACATTGTCTGATATGGTCGGACCACCTGTGTCAGGAACAAAGAAAGCTCAATATTACAAAATAATAAACAACTAAATCAAAGTCAGTCTGGAGGTGAAGAGGTATTTTTGATGAACTGGACAGAAGCTACTATTTAAAAGTAATCATTTGACAATAGTTAATACAGTGAAGTATTTCAACTATTGAACAGAAAACCATAGAATGGAAAATAACTGGTGTTTGCAACAGCATCTTCTGGTAAAAATTGACTTTTCAATGGAAACCACTATTTAAAAGGATGCTAGAGTATTCTGTTTCAGTAACACCTGTAGCCTGAGTTGAGTTACTTTTCAGTTACTGAAAGGAGTCCTAGAGAACTTACTACATTTTGTATTTTACCTATGTGACTATACACACATTACAAACATTGTCTGCTTTGCTTTGTGTTTCAGACTCATACATGGCAGTCTATTCCATAATTCTCTCTCTAGGATCTGTTTCTCTCTCTTTCTCTCTTTTTTAGAACAATCACTGGCAGAATGTCAGCTGCAGACTTCTTTGCCAAAGCTAGTGCCATCTTTGTTAAAATTTCTGCCACCCACTTTACCTCTTAACATGGAGTCAAATTCACCATCAAGATGAGGGACAAAAGTACTTTGCAGCATTTAGAAATCAGTTTAAAACCTCAAAACAGGGAAAATGGCCCAGATTGGCACTCTTCAGTGTTGCATTTCACTCAGAGCAGTGCATGAGCATTATAGAATTGTGGTATTTACATGACACTGGAAAATTATATAACCACCTTTACCCCCAATATAAAAGTAGTGGTGGAAGTTTATAGTAACATTAAAATGTTTTCATTTCCTAGAAAACTTCCCATAATATTTGGTATAACGTATTCTCTCAGTTAGCTGGGGAAATTATTTTTCCAACCAAAGGGCACAGTTGTAAATTTTTGAAGAATTACCATGTTATGCTGGTACATCCCCACTAACATGGCAGAATTTGGTTTTGTATTGATGGGACCTTGGCTGACCAAAATCATTTGCTAGAATCATTATTTCTTATGTTATTTCATATACTCTTTTTGGAGAGGCAAAGCTCATTGTAGAAGCTTGTGATAAGAAGTGATGGTGAAAAGATAAGTTACAGTGAATTAATAACATTCACTTAAAAGTACTGTACTTCATCTGAAGTTACTTTTCTTCAAGGTTTCACTATTTCCTTTTCATGAAAATCATGAAATCCTATCCTTTTTGTTCCACTGATATGTGTGTGTGTGTGTAATTATTTTTGTCCCTAGTAGCTGTCAGGGAAATGGTGGCAGGGAAAAAAACACAATTAACTTAGGAAAATTTGAAGGACCTTTTCTCTTGTTATTCAAAAGATTTATTTGATGGAAAAGTAAATAATAACAGTACCAGTGCTTACATGTCTTTATTTGGTGCTTTAATAACAAATGGAAACCTACAGACCTGTGTAGGTTATTGTCACCGCCTATCACACAGAAGAATAGTCAGTTGTTACTTGTCTGGCAAATACCTAAGTAGTTCTGGAAAAGCTAGGAGGATGGTTTGCCAGAACTATGCAGTAAATCACTACAGCTACTGGAACAGGAGATTATTTTTGGCTGAAGGCTTTTTTTCTTTTTGTTCCCCAGCCATAAAACATTTATTCTACAGGGAAGTACTACTTAATAACTAGTAATGCTTTCTTGAAGCAAACTCTTTGGCTAGGTTTTCTTATAGTAGTAAAATGAACAGGCATCCTCTGCCTCAGACAAAAAGAAAAACAAATCCTACAAGATTTCTTTGCTGTTGTCTGCTCATTCTGAGCAGTTTTCAATATTCAATAGGGTATATTCATATTACTACTGACTGAAAGTTAAAACAATGTGCCCTGATACAACCAAAGCCTATGTCTTGAGGTTATTTTTTGGGAAGCATTGCTCCACAATAAGATAGAAGATTTTCAGTTTTTCATTTTCACTAATCCCTATTTCTTTTGTATATTTTATTCCATTATGTTTCACAGGCAAGTCAAAAGGTTAGAAAGTTTGGTTGTAGGGTTTTCTTGTCCCCCTCTTAGATTAGAAAAAAGGAGTAAAAAAATCCTCCTGATACACTTCGTCTTCACTGCAGAATGAGCTTGAGTTACTTACAGCTGAACTAAATCGAGTGCAGGTAGCCATATTGTGAAGTAACACTTGAGCTTCAGAGTGACTGGACTTTATTACTAGGTAATTAGAAGTGTTAACTCCATCTAGAGCCTGTAGGGATAAAATCATCACCACACTCAAGCATTTTAGTGTGGCCGGCACTCAAGTTGGAGCTGATACTTGGGTTAATTCTGCAGGGAATACAAGCCTACAAATGACTGATGTAAAAAAAAAGTCTCATTTCTTTTCCACCACTGATCCCACAATTTGTCCAGAGAACAAAACTAAAAAATGTGGAACTCTTGGATAGAGAAGAGGCAGGGAAAAATATTATTTATTCATAGATTAGTCTACTAACAACATCAATAATAATGACAACAATTGTGATAATAATATATGACAAGAGTATCAAACTCATCCAGATGCATAGACCAGGTCTGCAATCTAGATCCAACGCATCCTGAATTGGCCAGAGTGGGTGCCCATGTGGTCCAGTCCAGTTCTCATTTTACTATGTGGCCCTGGAGCTCTGCTGCATGGCCCTGCAGCCCTGATTTGGCCACTACATGCAACATAGCCTCAGAGTGGCATGGGTGCTCCTCCAGTCTGGGCACCAAGCTGAAGCAGGAGGACATGAAGTGCATGGGGCCATGTGGCATACTCCACATGCTCCCCAAGGATCAATCTAAGATATATGGGCAGTACTGCTGTGCAACATTTTGATAGGCATTTGGTTTTGAAGCTGTCCCAACATGTTTCAAGCTCGAAACAGAGAAATTGAAACAAAACAAAAGGCTTTGAAACAGCTCTGAAATGAAACGAGGGCACTCAAAATGTTTCAAAAGTTTCAAAACGTTTTGAGTTTCAAAGCCAGACTTGCTGCAGCTAAAAAGAAACTAAAGAGAGGGAGGGGGAAGAAGGAGGAAGGACTGCTGTCTTACATTGACATCTAGCTCCCTCTGATCTCTTCCGCCAGTTCTCTGATCATTTCCCCAGCTCTTCCCTGGGGGCATAGGCCCCCAGTCTGCACAAGGAGTTTCAGTAGACTGCTGCTGAAACTGCAGCAGCAAGTTGCTGAAACCCAGCATGACCGCCTAGGGGCCTGCGCCCCCCTGGGAAGAGCTGGGGAAGCAATCAGAGGGCTGGGGGAAGATATGAGAGAACTGGGGAATTGAACAGGGGGTTGGGGAATAGAACTGGGAGCTGGGGAATCCAACCGGGAGCTGGAGAACCCAGCTCCCAGTTGGATTCCCCAGCTCCCCGATCTTTCCCCCAGCTCTCTGATGGCTTCCCTCAACTCTTCCCTGGGGGGTGCAGGCCCCCGCATGCTGTGGGATGACAGCAGGCTGCCACTGGGACGGGGGCTGGGTGCAGCCTATGCCAAGTGCTTGGAAGACAGGTGCTGGCAGTGGCAGCGTCAGTGTACTGTTATCCCATGTGCAGATTCAGGGGCCCGCACCCCGTGGGAGTGCTGTGGGGCTGTGCCAGACTCCTCCTGGAGGGCATGGGTGCGTGGGATGATACCAGGATGCTGCTGCTGGCTGAAACTGGTGCTGGGCACAGTCCGTGCTGACTGCCAGGTTGAAAGGTGCTGCCGCTGGCCCCAGCTGGCAGTGGTAGCATGCTGTCATCCTGCATGCAAATCTGGCAGCATGCACCCCCTGGGGGGGCTGCGGGGCTGTGCCAGACTCCTCCTGGGAGCAATGGGCCCCCAGATCTGCCCACAAGATGACACCAGGCTGCTGCTGCTGGCTGGGACCAGCAGCCTGTGCCAAGGGCCAGGAAGCCTGGTGCTGCCTCTGGCCGCAGCTGGCAGCAGCAGTGTGCTGCCATTCTGCAAACTGATCCAGGGCCCTGTGCCCCCTGGGAAGACTCCAGCACAGCCCTGCAGCCCTCCCAAGGGGTGCAGGCCCCCAGGTCTTTGCATGGGATAACAGCAGGCTGCTGCTGCCGGCAAATTATACAAGTTTTATTTTGACCAGTTTGAGGTGCAGTTTCTGAGAAACGCCTACACTTATCTCCTTGAAGCTTAGCAGGCTGAATGCCCTCTGAAGGGGCTACCATCCCTGCAATTTTCATCCAAATCAGGCAAGAAATGACAAAGTTATAGGCATTTTCATGATTCCCCATTATAATCTATGGGGGAAATGTCGAAACGCATCAAAACAGAGAAACAATTTCGACGAAATGAAATGGAACAGTGCTCTGAAATGAAACAAAACAACAAAATTAAACACTGTCCTTTTGAAATGGTGAAATGGAAGTCGAAACAAAATGGTGCTATTTCATACACCCGTAGCAGGCAGCACTGGGGGCTCGATGATATAGCTCCACTAACCGTATCTTTGACACCCCTGATACATATTATTGTCATCACTGGAAATCCCTTGATACAAGCATGACACTCTTTCAATAGATATGAAAGTCATGAATGAGTCCAGAGGTGGCTAAAGAAGCCGATCACAATCAGAGATCTGCATGTTTGAATAGACATTATTGGTCCCAAGAGGAAAGAGTGGATCATGGTGACGTCAGCTCATAACTCTTTCCCCTTCTCTTGCCTATTGTTCTCCATCATAAGCATATTAACATGCGAGTCATTGGGCCCAGCCCCAGGGGCCCCTTCCAATCAGGGACCACGCTTGCAACTTGCTCCTCATCGGTAGGGAAGCGCAAGATGTGGTTTTAAACATGATGATATTTTTATCTCCCTGCTCATTGGCAGTAAGCAGCAGGGCCCCTGGGGCCCCTCAGCCAAACAGCGGTGGGGAAACAAAAATAGTGTCAAGTTTAAAACTGTGGCTTTCACTTCCCTGCTGATGAAGAGCAAGCAGGGCCCCTCCACCAATCTGCAGGTGGGGGGACCCTGCAAAATTAAAGGTGCTGCT